TATCTAGTACTTCTCGTATATTATTCTCAAATTTGTGGGCCATTTTCTCAGTCTTCGTGGTGGATTTTTCCAGGCCAGCCATTTTCTCTTCTATATCTGAGATTCTATTTTCTGAATGATCTAGTCTGCTTTTAGTACTTTCAAGGGAGATTTTGACTTCCTATATTATAGACTTTATCTTTAAGAGTTCCTTTTGAGTCTTTTGTAAAGTGTGTAATTCCTCTTTTAGATCTTGCAAGAATTTCCTCATCTCCTCGAACTCGTCAACTTCTTTCTCCTTTCTCTTTAGCAGTGCATTATCTCTCTTTTCTTCCATCTCTGTTAGCTTCGACATTATGAATGCTCTAAATTCCTTATCAGACATTTCCATGATTTTCACCGAACTGTTTGTGGATGAAGAAGAGTTACTCTTTTCCCTTGGAGGAGAGGTATTTTCTTGTTTTCCCATATTTCTTGTGATCCGGTGGTGATTTCTTGTCATCTGATGGATGGTGTGTTTCTTTCAAGTTCTTGAAGTTCAGCCTGAATGTTCAGGAGCAAGCAGACAGAAGTGATCTAGAATCTCTTTGCCATTCTGTTGTGATCGCTGGTGCAGCAGATTCAGTAGATATTGGGGAGTATTTTAACCCTCTTAGTATTTGGATGTTTAGCTACAGTGCTCTTAGATCCATCGCTAGCTCGTTTGCTGGAGGCTGAATTATCAGTAGAAAATCTTCATTCCCTGAAATATCTAGTTTGCTGGAGCCATGTAGAACCTTCTTCTGAAGGCCTGGCCTCTTCTGCTGCTAGGTCGTTTGCTGGAGGCTGAATTATCAGTAGAAAATCTTCATTCCCTGAAATATCTAGTTCACTGGAGCCATGTGGAACCTTCTTCTGAAGGTCTGGCCTCTTCTGCCGCTAGCTTGTTTGCTGGAGGCTGAATTATCAGTAGAAAATCTTCATTCCCTGAAATATCTAGTTTGCTGGAGCCATGTGGAACCTTCTTCTGAAGGCCTCTCCTTCACTCATTTCTTTGAAGTAGCTGTGCTGGGCACTATCTGAGTGCTAAATACACAGTGGTGAACAACGGTCCGTTTTCTGCACTCCCTGTGCTTATGTTTGAGCAACCCCACTTCAATTAGCACTAACAGAATTGTAATTAGTATAATTAATATGTAATATATTAGCTGTAATTATCATAATATTGGCAGCTCCTTCCTACATAATGGTCATCTCTGAATGCCCCGCACCAAAAACCAGCCCACAGAAAGCACTGTATCAGTGACTGCTAAGTGTATGAATGTTTTATACATTGTATATCCAATGTTTTGTTTTGCTTTGTTTTTGTTTATGAGGGTGGTGGAGATATTTTTGACAGGGTCCCATTGTTTGACCATCCTTCTCCAGGCTCCCAGTCAAGATCATAGGCCCTCACCACCATATCCAGACTACTTAGGTTGGACTGGGAACCAGAGCTAGGGTTCCCATGAGGCCTTAGCCTCATGCAATAACAACAGGAAGAAGGCAACAGGAAACAGCCTGTTAAAGATCAAGGGTGATGACTAAGAGTTCAGAGAGCACAAGTTTTAGCATTGAAAGGAGCAATGTTAAGAGCACAGGCTTTGAGGACAGATAGACATGGGGCTCAAATCTTGCCTCTCCCACACATTATCCATGAAGCCTTTTTGGCTTGAACTTCAATTGCTGCATGCAGATGGCAACAGCACCCACTGCCAGGTGCTAAGGACTAAGTAAGATAAAATATGCAAAGTTCTTAGCATCTGGTGCACAGTAAGTGGTCAACAAAAGTTAGCTGTTAATAGTCATCACTGATATTATAGTTGTCATAACTGCTGATAATACTGTTATAACTAAAGTCTTCATCACAGAATTGGCACATGGAAAACAATGGAAAACATTTAAAAATGACAGCTGATAGTATCTTACAGATATGTTGCGGTTATCCCAACACCTGGCCACCAACAAGCAGGTATGGACCTCAGACCGAACACAGGAACTTTTCTAGGTATCAATAACTTGGACAGTAAAGGTAGGACGATGATGGAAACTAACTAAGGGTACTTCGGAAAGTACATGGGGAAATGGAATTAAAGTCCAAGTTTGTCTCAGTGCAAACATGTTGAAATCCATGCATAGGTTTTTCATAATATGCATTTTCCATGAACTTTCTGAAGACCCCATGTCTTATTTTCACACCTCTCTCATCTCTAGAATGTTCAATCATGGTAATTCTTCTAGCAACATTGAACATATTGCAACATGGTAACTTGGCTATTTAGCAGAGAAGTCTCCATGGGCATTTATTCGTCAGGAATGGAGGGGGTCTAATAAGCATCTTTGCTTAGCCAGCTGTGTCAATCTAAAAGGGATTTAGAGAGGAGAGAATCAGACGTGCATTTCAGTGAAACAGAAAACCCAGGCAGAGTTAACAGACGCAGAGTTGAAAGTTGGCTAATTGAAAAAGGATTGGATCAGGGCTTTCAGGAAATTCATTCTATCCAAATTAAATTATAAACAGGAACCTGCCCTGTTTTAAGATTTAGAAAGCCTGATGTGGAGTAGGGAATGGCATGAATTTCAGCAAGAGATAGGGAATTAAGAAAAGTCAATAATGTTTTGTGCTGCAGATGTTGGAAGCACCTGTAATAGCAAAGAATAAGCTCCTTAGTTTGAATTTTCTGGCATTCATTTATGAAGCCTCTGGAGCCTGCAGCTACAATGAAAACATATTATCCTTTTCACAGTGTATGTATTTAGCTCCTGAAAATAATCTTCTTATCTCCTGTTTAGTGAATTATCACTTTCATTTTCCTCCACAAGAAATTACACACTAATAGAGGGCTTTAAGAGTTTACAATTTCTTTTTTGTATTCTGATTTTAAAATTGAAAAGTAATCTCCTTACTCCTTGAGCTCAGCCAGTGAAGCTGAAATCCTAATGTCATGGCCCAGTAAGTACAGAGATGTAATTAAATCACTCCACTGAACTAATTCGCCAAGAGGGCCACCACTGAAAGCTGTCTCTGCAATCTTAAATCCAGATTCCTTGGTCAGGAGTCCCAGGTGAACCAGGACCTAGAAAACAAAGAAGAGGCATTTACTAATTTGCATTGGACCAAGAACAAACTCCAAAATAATGTACCAAAAAGCAATCAACCAATTCCAAAACTACGTTTACATACTAACAAAATCTCGAGGTGGGCTATGCCATTTTTCTAGAGGGTACAAAGAAAGGAAGGGAAGAATTTTCCATTGCTCTTTTAGAGAAATAAGATTATTATTGTGCTTAAGATGACTTTGAACATGAGATATAGGCAATCCTGCTTTTAAAAGGTGTGATGTGTATGTAAAATCAGAATTTAAAGAAAGCATACTAGGACAATCAAATAGCTAAGAATATTGAGCTTTTTTTCCCATGACTGAAATATTTTTAACCTTTACCATGAAAAAAATCTCAAAGACAGAAAACAGACATGACCATAGTATGACGTAATACAGTCAATCCACATGTATTTGCCATGTATTCATAACAGTTATTGATTCAAGACAAATGTTATTTAATCTGCACCCCCTCTCTCATTTTCATCCAAACCGTCTGGGTTATCTTGAAGCAAATTCTAGACTTCACACCCTTTCATCTGTAAATATATCAGTATGTATCTCTAGAGGAAACAAACCTTCATGTAAAAAAATAACCATAACATCACTATCTAAAAACATCGCTAACCTCAGAAAAGATAATGATTCCTTGATACTATTTGATGTGCAGTTAGTGTTTACACTTCCTCAACTGTCCCTTATTGTTTAAGTGCAGTTATGTAAGTGGTCAAAGTGCATACATTCGAATTGCCTCATGTATCCATTACTCTAATTAACTCACATAGTCCCCATTGCTTCTTCTTGGAGGCAGGAGGGCATGGGTTACCCTTTATTCATCAAATAAACTGGTTGTATTTCCAAAACAGTGTCTCACACTGAATTTGGCTGATTAAAATCCCAAGATATTATATAACAGGTCCTTCTAATCCTTTATGTTAAGTTAGGAACTAGATCTATAGACATGAACAAATTCAGATTCAATGTTTTGGGCACTATGACTGCATAGGTAGTACTGTGTACAGTTGTCTTTTGGTACCCATGGGGAACTGGTTCCAGGACACCTTGTGATGCCCAGATCTACAGATGCTCAATTCTTTTACACAAAATGGTGTAGTATCTGCATATAACCTACAATCTATAACCTATATCCTTCTCTGTCCTTCAATCACCTCAAAATACCTACTAAAGTGTAAATGCTATGGAAATAGTTGTTATACTCTATTATTTAGGGAACGGCCAGCAAAAAGTCTGTACATGTTCAGCACAAATGCAACCATCACAGGCCTAACCGCATAGGACACACTGGCAACAAGAGAATATTTTGATCCACAGTTGGTTGAATGCTGAGATGGAGAACCCACAGATATGGAGGGCTTACTATCCTCCCATGGGTGGGAAGAATGGTTATTCTGGTGACTGTGTTCTGGAATGTTAGCAGATACTGAGGATTGCTATCTAAATACATTAATCCATTAGGAGTTGCAAAATGGTGATATTCTAGTATTCCTTCTTCATCTATTAGCTAGAATAATTCTATAAAGAATAGCTACTACCCCTCTTCAACTAGCTGGTAAGCCTGAGGTCTAGTGTACATAGATTAAGACTAATAAATATTTCATGTACCAATTTTCAAAATAACAAATTTGTCCTTTAGCATACTCTAACGATGATCTATGAAGCTTTATTGGTTTTATTTTTTTAAAAAATATTATGAAATCATAGATATAAGCACAATGGTATGTTTCAATAAATTGCAGTGCTCGCCCTAGAGACAGAGAAACAGTGAGAAGGAAAGTGAGAAATCACCACCTGGGGGCTGGCCTCACCACAATCCTTTCTTCTCCATTTTCCTCTGGGGATTATGGGCACACATGCACATGCACTTGGTGTGATTGTCAAGCCACTGGGTCTGGGGCTCCAACTGCAGTTGGCCCTATGGAGTTCAGCACTTTACTCACCACACCACCTGCTGGCCCCAATAAGCCATTTTTCTAAGAATTTCTTACATCACTTAGTGGAAATAGCATTTAGAAATCACAGTCTAGGGTTTGGGGAACTCTAGTTTATCACTGTTCATAGGTCTTCTCAGTATATTACCTAGAATATTGATTTTTCTTCAGAGATAAAATAAATCATGTGTTCATACCAGTATTTCCTATTCAAATTCAGGAATACAGCATCTTTACATAAATTATCCATTCTATATCTGTTATTTCCTGTCTCCCACACTAATAATCTGACTTCTCAAAAACGCTAATATAATTGCTGTACTCATTTGCTTCACCCCAGTATTTGCAATGGATTCAGAATGAAAATATCAATACCAACATGTACTACTTGATCAGTAAAACTTGTCATAAAATATTTTTGTACTCGTTTGTCCTATGATATCCCACCAGAAATGCACAATTCACTGTGTTCTAAAGTCACTAAGAATAGTACTTCTGTGTACTGTATCAAAACTGGATGGATATGTAGTTGACTCATGTGATTTATTTTCCCTATGATTTATAAGTAGGGCTTTGTTTTGCAACTGAATTTTGTTTAACACTTACATAAAATCATTTCAGGACCGAAGCCTCAAAGTATGATGTGGTCAGAGGCCTAGTTTCTATATCCTTGCTTTTTCGCCATTTCCTCCTCCCATTATTTGACCTCTTATTTTTCTTATTGTGATAAAATATACATTATATGACATTTACCATTTTAACATGAACAAGTTAGTAGTATTATGTACATTAACCTCATTATGCAACCATCATCATCAATCTCCTTGATTTTTAATTTTATGGTTTATCTTTTAAGAAAAATAAAAGAAACAGAGTACATTATAATACACTATTTATGTGTGTATACATACATATATAAATTCCCTCTCCCAGGAACTCTATTCTCCACCTGGCTATTTTTTAACCTAATACTATATCTTTTTTTTTTTTTTTTTTGGAGAGGTTTTTGCTATAGGGCACATGCCGTCGCCACAAAGACAGAGAGAGACAGAGAGATAGAAAGTGAGAAATCACTCCCCAAGGGGGATGGCCACACCACAATCCCTTCTCCATTCTCTTCTCGGGATCTTGGGCACGCACGCACACGCGCCCGGCATGAGTTTAAGCCTCCGGGTCTGGGACTCGAACCGCAGTTGACTACATGAGAGTTCAGTGACACAGTCATTACGTTAACTGCGGGTCCCTCCTAATGTTATACCTTAAAGATCACTCCATAGGATTGGACAGAAATATTATTTCTTCTCATAGCAACTGTGTGTTCTTTTATACAGGGCTATTTGGTACCAGAAAGTTCAGTCCTGCTGTCTCATAATCTCTAGAGATCTAAACAAAACTGACCTATCAAACTGTAACTTGGTGTCCTGACAAGTCTATCTGTATTTTGTTTTTCAAAGTCATCACATTAGTCAGATTAGGAATACCAAACTCATTTTACAGTTCTTTTTTAGATGTGGGAACGAACGGTTCCCTTTGCTCAGTTTTGATATTTTTTAACCTAAATCTAATTCTTTTTTTTTTTTTTTTTGGAGAGGTTTTTGCTATAGGGCACATGCACTCGCCACAAAGACAGAGAGAGACAGAGAGATAGAAAGTGAGAAATCACTCCCCAAGGGGGATGGCCACACCACAATCCCTTCTCCATTCTCTTCTCGGGATCTTGGGCACGCACGCACACGCGCCCGGCATGAGTTTAAGCCTCCGGGTCTGGGACTCGAACCGCAGTTGACTACATGAGAGTTCAGTGACACAGTCATTACGTTAACTGCGGGTCCCTCCTAATGTTATACCTTAAAGATCACTCCATAGGATTGGACAGAAATATTATTTCTTCTCATAGCAACTGTGTGTTCTTTTATACAGGGCTATTTGGTACCAGAAAGTTCAGTCCTGCTGTCTCATAATCTCTAGAGATCTAAACAAAACTGACCTATCAAACTGTAACTTGGTGTCCTGACAAGTCTATCTGTATTTTGTTTTTCAAAGTCATCACATTAGTCAGATTAGGAATACCAAACTCATTTTACAGTTCTTTTTTAGATGTGGGAACGAACGGTTCCCTTTGCTCAGTTTTGAAATCAAAACAGTTCATCTAAAGCCACACCACTTAAATCTATGACTAATGGATATAAAATCTTCTCAGCCCAGGGGTACGAAACAGTCTATGCATCTCCTCATAAACTTGAAACTATCTCCAAGGAGCCTAAGCAGAAGCATCAGTCAGACAGAGCTGCAATGGAACTCATGGGCTGCCCAAACCCCACGGTTGACAAACAACAAAAATATGAAATTCTCATGAAGTTCTAAAAGGTTGGACTTAAAGATGGGGGGCGGGGAGGATTTTCCTGATATCCTGAGAAAGACAGGCAGGTAGTTAAAAGGAAAATCTTATAGGCAGAGATTATTCTGCTTGTCTTCACCCAAGAAACTTGTGCCAGTCCCTGCTAAGTCAGAGAACTGTAACTGGGGAAAGAAAAAAATCCAAAAACGGCTGTACAAGAGACTGAGAAGATTCACCCTGAGGGAATATCATTTGAGACATGACATTTCTTTTAGTCTTGTTTCCAAGCAAAATAAAAATTTAAAAGAAAACTGGCATCTGACTGAACTGAATTAATAAGAAACTCACTTTCTTCCGCTTTCTCTTTTCAAGATTCTGCTTTTCTGCCAGGGACTTGATTGCCTGGATCCATGCGTCAGCCATCCTCCGGATCCGCAGTCTCATCCACCGGAATTCTTCATGCTTTTTCATCATACTGTAGAGAATATTAAAATCTGTACGAATGTCCGCCTAGAAACAGAAATTTAATAAAATGAATAGGAGATAAAAAGTCAGAAAGCATAAAGGTTTTCACGATGTGACATTTGGAAACTTGAGAGAGACAGTCAATTAAATCTAGGGCTTCAGAAGTGAGTCTTGTCTGTGGAACAGTTTTTTACTTTGAGGTCCCAGAATTGCAAATTGAAACGGAGGCTCCTGACTGTGGATCGGCTCTGAGGGACATCATTAAAAAATTAGAAATTGAGAAAGGCAGCGCGGTCATTGCAAAGCCCTGAGCTATGTTGAAATGCTGGTTTTACAATGAGCATAGTTGATATACCTTGAAATTTCCTGCACCTAAACTTACTGTGCCACTTAGATCCATGTCATTGGAGCAAACTCCTGGGCAAATTAAAGTCAATCCCCAACAGGTTACCTGACACCATGTAAGTTACCAGAAACCCTCTTTTTGTCACAGAGTTAAACAAGAAAATGAATTTCATCTTCTAGTTTTGTTGCAGTCCAAAATAAAATGTGCTTTCCCAAGGAATCTAATATCTATTTTCCTACCGTAATGGAATAAAATTTAAATTCAGACAATGATTTAAAAATCAGAGAGAATATTCCTATTAATATTCTAAATAATACAGCTGGATATGTCCAGTGATTAGAAGAAGAGAAACATGATAATACCAGTATTTATTTCCCAGAATGTCTCAAACACACTGACTTCATCTTTCAGTAGTTAAAAAAACTCATTTTAAACACTCATCCTTCTCGCTGGCTCAACAGTTTCCCAAGATCCCCAAAGTCTACACACAGGTTGACAAGCTATAGCTCTTCCTAGCGTAATTCTCCGCACTACTTATTTGTGTGCATAGAGTTTTACTGGAACACAGCCATGCCTTTTCATTAGCATATTGCTTGTGGCTGCTCTCTGTGCTACAATGGCAGACTTGAATGGTTCCAACAGGGCCCGTAGGGCCTGTAAAGATGAAAATATTTACCACCTGGCCTTTTACAAAAAAAGTACACCAATCCCTTGTCTACAGAAAAAAGGCACTATCTTTCAATAGGGCAAAAAAACCCATGTGCTGTCCTCTTCCCTACCTCCCTAATCTCTTCTTCAACACAGCTTATCCAAACTCCTAAGGCCTTGGCCCACTAACCTATGTACTACTTCTCAAAAACATCAAGTTCCTACTTCCCAGTGTCAGAGATACCATTCTCTGCTTGATTTTACATGAACTCACTCATCATTTTAAATTCCACTTTCACATTATCATCTTTAGGCAATTTATCTTGACCATTGCAGGCTGAGATAATCTCTTCTCGTAATTGTCACGGGTTTGTATTACAGTATATGTGACAGGCATGGTTGTTATCTGCAATTGTCACCATCATTAGATCACCAAGGGTCTCCATGACTGGTACCAGGTCTTACTCATATCAACAGCCCATCATTTAGGAATGTTCAGAGAGCAGCTCAATAAATAAATACATGCTAACTAGGGGGCCTGAGTTAGATTTCTACAGGGCTGGTGACAGAAGTTCTTCAGTTTAACTCTATCTTAGGTTACAGCTGGCATTTCTAGAGGATTTTGCATGTGTTACTTGGTGTCTCACCTAAATGCCTAGAGCTGTCCAAAACCACTTACCAGTGAGTTATGATCAGCTTCTTCATAGGGATTTTTTGCTCTCCAAGGTAAATGAGGACACCAATTTTCAACCTGAAAAACACAAATTAGTGACACTGAGTATGGTCAATCATCGACGAATTAATTGATGTATCTATAAAGCACAGAGAACTATTCCTGGCACACAATGAGCATGATAGGAATGTGGGCTTTATTATTATTAGCCAAACTCTCATGCTTGCTTGCTAGTGATCTAGATACAGGTGCCCTCTCAGAGAAAATAATAACCAGCAAAGGTAAGAAAGAACATGTAATGACATTTTACATCTGTCTTCCAGAGTACTTTCCAGTGACTGATTCCTTTATCATTTAATCCTTGCGCTTCTACACAGAAGGAGAACAGTCTTATGGCAGAAAGTGAAGAGATTTGAACACTGCCACAGGGGAATGAGAATGTAAAGGTCCCTCTGTGGCTATTTAGCAAGTAGACAGGGATGATTCGTGATCTGCTCTGGCATGTTTGGGAAGGAAATGGGAGCAGTAAAGCAATAGAAGTCAATCATGTGTCTCAGAATTAGGAATGCAACTGATAGTTTAAGGATAATTGGTCAAGCCAGTTCCTTATTTTCTGGCTGTTCACTCAGGTTAGCTCAAGGAACAGGTGATAAAACCCATTAGAGAAAGAGAGAAAAGGAAAAGGGGGGGGGAACCCTCAGTGATATTGGGAGCCATTCTGGAAGATAGACTGTTCTGTAAATGTTCAAGGGTTAAAAGAATTGGGGACAGAGGAAAAAAACAAACAAACAAACAAAAAAAACCACCACCACCACCACCAGATTTTATAGGAATTACTTCAGCAAAGATTTCCAAAGAAAACTAGTCAAATGAACAATTTCTAGTAAAGAAAAAAAAATAAAAATAAGCACTGTGGGGATCAGCTGATAGCATAATGGTTGCGTCGCTGGACTCCCATTTAGTTGACTGTGGTTCGAGTCCTGGATCCAGTGGTTTAAACTCACGTCGGGCACCCGTGCATGCATGTGCAAGATCCCAAGAGGAAAATGGAGGAGAAGGGACTGTGGCATGGCCATCCCCCCTGGAGGGTGATTTCCCACTTTCGGTCTCTCTGTCTCTGTCTTTCTGGTGAGTGCAATGCGCCCTATAGCAAAAACCTCTCAAAAAGAAATAATAATAAATAAATAAGTAAATAAATAAGCAGTGCGTTGAGCAATATTGATGTCTCATCTCTGTATAAACTAGCTATACAATTTCCAGATAGCTCTATTATACATTCACTAATACACAAAGGGACTTCAAAAAGTTTCTAAAAAGTGAAATTAAAGTATGAGTTTATGTTGGTGCAAAAAAATTGATATCCATGCATAGTGTTTTCATAGTATATATTTCTCTTGGAATTTTTGAAGATCTCTTATATAATGAAATAACTAAAGATGGCTCAGAAACAGACATTGGAAATACTTTTTCTATGGCCACTAGCCTAACAAACTTAGCAGAGGAGAAGGACAGAGAATGCCTTTGGAAGGATAACTGAGATCACAGCCTCATGGGCCATAGAGCAGAGTCCAACAAGAGTGTTTGGCCTCGGGGGCTGGACAGTAGCCCAGTGGTAAAATGGTGATGCTCTGTAAGGCTGACCCACATGGGAATCATGGGAACGTTCCACGTTCATATCTGGAGACCTCCCTGAGTACACTGGGTACTAGCCTAAGATCCGGGGTTAGCTGGGGGTTAGATTGGGGGTAGAGGACAATGTCAGGACCCTACTGGGGGTGGTCAGTTTCTCTATCTAACACAATAAACTTAAAAAAAAAGTTTGCCTTCTGATTCTGGATGAGTTTTCAAAGAAACACATCAGTTTTACTAATCTAGAAATTACTCATAACGCATAGTGATTTTTACTATGGCCAAGAATAATTTGCCTGATTTGCACAAAACCATCTGCCACTGCAAATCATCTGAAAGCAACAAGCAGAGGCCAGCAAAGCTTGGGGTAGGGCAGAATCCCTGGAGAAGAAGAATGCAATATTCTCTTTCCTTCTTGTGGAATAAACTTAGACTTTACCATATTTGTGAATGACATCAGAGACTCACAAGGACTCCCCATAAGGAAAGCTGGAACGGTTTTTACTCATAAAAAAGAAAATACTGACTTGCCTTGGCGGCCCATGCTGTAATTACGGGGACCTTGCAGCAGTTTGACCATGAAAGGCAGTACTGGGAGCTCCACAAAGGAACAGAAATAAGGGAAAACAGCAAAGTCTGCAAGTGGAGGAAGTGTCCACTGGTCCCGGTAGCACTGCACACATCTGTACCTCACGTTTTAAGACCAGGCTGAATTATTTAGCTCCAATTAAACTTCTGTAAATTGACTCAATAAAACATTCCAATAAAGTGTATTTATAAAAATGAAGGCTTCAAATGGATTGCAGACTTGATCATGAGACTTTCAATCTGTCCCTCCTCTTCAAACACACACATACACACACACACACACACACACACACACGATAAGGATGACCAAGCAATGTACAGATTTGAAATAAACCTCACGCTAAATAAACAACCAAATTTACACAGCTTTACACAGCAGCCTATCAGGATAAAATATTTCCCCATGAATATTATGACTGGGAAAGATGAAATAAGACTAAATGAAGAAAATCAACTGAAAGGAGAGAGATGAGTGAGATCAGACATTGATAAAGGAAAACAATTCACTCTTCACTCCTTACTTTTTTACCCCAGAAAGAACCTTCCAAGATTCACTCTGATGAAAATACTGTCCAAGGTGATCTTCTAAAATATGACTTCCCTACAGAATCCTCAAGATTGTAATTGCTCTTTGAAACTCATCATTTATCTTAGTTCTTTCTACTCTAAATCACTGGATACTACTTTGCAAGGCTCCAAGGGCATCCCTGCAAAGATGGAAAATAGAGTCGGTCCAATTTAAGTTTTATAGAGAAAATTTCACTGTTACACATACGCTTGTAGTGGTGGAAAAATCAATTATGAACATCTTAAGACTGAATGGGAGGGTGGTTTTTCAGGGTTGTTTTTGTATGCACTGATAAGGATAACTGGTTAACAAAATAATTAAATTATACATAAACCAATTACCCCATGGGGAGAGGAGAAAAACAAAACAAAGTATTTCTTTCTTTCTGAAATCTCCCAGGATTACCAGGATTGGAAGAAAGCCAGCACTGGCAATAATTCCAAGTACTGAAAAAAAAAGCCAGCCCTCAAATGAGCAACATTTTCCTAAGTATGAGCACCATTCGTAACACGGGGGAAAATCTAGCTCAAGGCTAATAACTCGACCTTCTAATCCCTAACTTTGTTTTCCTCTCTGATCTGTCCGAGGTTGTTAGGAAGCTTTGTCCACAAGTTCAGCATCCTAGCAATAAAGCTAGACCCCAGGATGAGCCTCCAGCCCTGGGAGCTGCTCTACTCATATCATTCTCAACAGCTTTCCTCACTAGCTCTCAGGACTCTACTGTTCCACACCTACCTACAACTCCTAATTCTCCACCCTTGGGGCTCTCTTCTTGGGACATGACTTTGTATTTGCCCTCAGTGCAATAATCCACTGACTCTCCTACCTTCCACCCCCCTGGCCTGGGCAAGCCTTGCCCCCAAGCCTTCAGACAAGATAGGAATTGCATGTCCTTAAAAGTAGCCTCTAATTTATGATAGTAGGTCTAGGAATTAAAAACCATCTGAGTTTATGGCGATGTGCACACAACAATCAATAGAGGAGCAGAACCATTACAGTAATAAACCTTCTATTTGAAGGCAAAACTCCTTCGACATGAACTAATCTTTTTAGTGCAGTAGCCTCAGGCCACAGAATGAAGAGGCAGCAAAAAAGGAAGGACAAAGTCTAGCCAGGCTAGGACTTCGGAACATGAATGCACAGTTCATGGAGAAGGCCCTAAAATCCCTCATCTTGAATGAGAAGACATAAAACAGTTTGGGTTTTGACATTCCTCCTCCCGGTGATTTAAACTTCTTTAAACTGCAAAGGTTTTGCAGCTTAATAATGAGCATTACGAATCAAAGCATTCTCCAAGTCCCTGAAAGTCTAACTAGGTCACAGATTTGTTTTTAAGGCCTATAGAATGGACAAGTCATTATATTTAAGGAAAAAGAAATGGCTGGTAGATGCTCATCTAGATCAAGCTGGAGTTCAGGGAACAAAAAGAAGTAATAAAATTATTGCAAAAACAAATAGATTGGATGTGTGTGTGTGTGTGTGTGTGTGTGTGTATGTGTGCACACACACGCATTAGTCAGGTATATAATATGGTGCAACTCTTTGCCATAATGCTCTGATTTTTTTTTCTGAAAGAATATCAATTAGTCTCTGTTACGGTCTCTTCTTCCATGATTAATGTGAAGTGTTTTGTTCTAATGGATCACTGACATTTAGGATTTCATGCTGTATTTTTCAGACGGTAAATGCAATAGAAACTAATGGAAAATGCTTAAGATTCAGATTACCTCTGGAATTATGGTGTTTTGGGTACTTTTCATTGTCTTCTTTTTGTTTGTCTCTATATTATAGTTTTTTTTCTACAATGGGTATTAAATGATAGACTAATTTTTTTAAGGCTTTTGGTATAGTGTGTGCATACTCACCAGAAAGAAACAGAGCAAAACACTGAAAAAGAGAGAAATCATCTCCCAAGAGGGATGGCCACGCCACAATCCCTTCTCCTCCATTCGCCTCCTGGGATTTTAAGCACCCGCACACACACACACAGGTGCCTGGCATGATTCTTAAGCCACCAGGTATAGGACATGAATCTGAACAGACCATGGAATACTCCTTAAGCACCCGCACACAGGTACCTGGCATGATTCTTAAGCCACCAGGTATAGGACATGAATCTGAACAGACCATGGAGTACTCCAGTGCCTTAACCACTATGCTACCTGCTGGCTCAATAATAGACTAATTTTTAAAGGAATTATATAAATATACTATCATTTACTGAAGGCTCTCTGAAAAAAAAATTGCTTGCATTGTATCATTTAATTCCCTGACAGGCTTTATGACATGGGTC